ATCGGGGTGCAGTCTTAAAGGTAAAACACCCGAATAATTTCCCCCCCTTTGACGAACCCTAAGTATGAAAATTTTTTTTAAAATTTTCTTTTTCCCTTTTGGGAAAAATTCAGGAGGGCCTTTTTTTTTTTTTTTTTTTAAACAAAAAATAATACCGGAACGGAAAAATGGTAAAAATTGGGAAATTTTTTGTTTTTTGGTAAAAAAATTGGGCCATTTGTAGCAAAAACAGGAAAAAACCCCCTTTTAAATTACATTTATAAAAGTTTTTTTAAAAAATTACAGTATATTGAGTATAGTACTAATGCCAGTCATTGAAGAGCCTGATAACTGAACACAAACTGTACATTTATATTATCTTCTATCAACACACCGGCCCAAAAAAGAAAAGCGAAAGTTTCTCTTTTTAACTTTCAGTAATGTATACAGGAGAAGGGTTTACTAGCCACTTGCTCCCGGCATTTTAGTTGCCCCTTACGACTCGTATGGCTTACAGAGGAAAAATTGTGTTCCATTTTCCCATGGAGATAAGAGGGAATAAACAAGAACAAGAACTAGTGAGAAAATAGAAGAAAACCCAGAGGGGTGTGTATATACAGTGGACCCCCGCATAGCGAACGCATCGCATAGCGAACAATCCGCATAGCGAACGCTTTGTTCGCTGAAATTTTGCCCCGCATAGTAGACAAAAACCCGCTCAGCGAACTTCGTCCGAGACGCGTCCAATGTGGGCCCTCAGCCAGCCTCACATGTGCCGCCCGTCCCATTGTGTCCCATTGTTTACCAGCTAGCCTCCGCGGTAACACTCAAGCATACACTCGGAATATTTCGTATTATTACAGTGTTTTCGGTGCTGTTTCTGGAAAATAAGTGACCATGGGCCCCAAGAAAGCTTCTAGTGCCAACCCTGTGGTAAAAAGGGTGAGAATTAGTATGGAAATTAAGAAAGATTTTGAAGGGTTTGGGGCTAACCCTGAGAAGCCTATGCCAGTTGTGGAATCCATTGTGCCTACTTCAAAATTAGGAAATGTGTGCACAGTGGGTTGAACTGCAAACCTTTATGGATGAAAATCACCCTGACACAGCTGTTGCAAGCCGTGCTGGTGACTATTTCAATGACAATGTTATGGCCCATTTAGGAAAGTCTTGAAGGAACGGGAGGTACAGAGCTCTATGGACAGATTTGTTGTGCGACAGAGGTCCAGTGACTCTCAAGCTGGTCCTAGTGGCATTAAAAGAAGAAGGGAAGTAACCCCAGAAAAGGACTTGCTTCCTCAAGTCCTAATGGAAGGGGATTCCCCTTCTAAACAGTAAGAAGATAATGCTCTCCCCTCCTCCCATCCCATCAATCATCACCAGATCTTCAATAAAAGTAAGTGTCATGTAATTGTGCATGCCTTTTTCAGTTTGTGTGTACTAAAATTAACATTTTTTTGTGGTAAAAAAAATTTTTTTTCATACTTTTGGGTGTCTTGCACGGATTAATTTTATTTCCATTATTTCTTATGGGGAAAATTAATTCGCATAGCGAACATTTCGCATAACGACCAGCCCTCTTACACGGATTAAGTTCGCTATGCGGGGGTCCACTGTATATATATATATCTTTCTTTCAACACGCCGGCCGTGTCCCACCAAGGCGGGGTGGCCCAAAAGGAAACACGAAAGTTTCTCCTTTTACATTTAGTATTATATACAGGAGAAAGGGTTACTAGCCCCTTGCTCCCGGCATTTAAGTCGCCTCTTACGACACCCATGGCTTACGGAGGAAGAATTCTGTTTCACTTCCCCATGGAGATAAGAGGAAATAAACAAGAACAAAAACTAGAAAGAAAATAGAAGAAAACCCAGAGAGGTGTGTATATATATGCTTGTACATGTATGTGTAGTGTGACCTAAGTGTAAGTAGAAGTAGCAAGATGTACCTGAAATCTTGCATGTTTATGAGACAGAAAAAAGACACTAGCAACCCTACCATCATGTAATAACAATTACAGGCTTCTGTTTTACACTCACTTGGCAGGATGGTAGTACCTCCCTGGGTGGTTGCTCTCTACCAGCCTACTACCTAGGACGTTTATATCTTATTGAGAAATCATTTACATTTCATTTTTTCCCCACATTAGCTATCTCCATCATAGTAAGATGATCCAAAAAAAGGAAACACACATACAATAGTTGTTTTATTAGCAGAGTGCAGGCATCAAAATTCAACTGGCTATATGGACTAACACATGCCTGCTCCTCTTTCAGATTGCATGCTTCACAGAATCCCTTAATAAATGTTATCTTAATCATGCTTAACAGCTCCCTAAATCACTGATTTAATACACTCAAGCCCCTTCCGTTAAAAAGATCCTTATCACCCTTCCTCTAACCCTTCCTGGGGGCAACCTGTCCTTTCCCTTATCTTCTAACCCTTCCCTGGATTTATAAACATTCTTGGTTATCATAATCTCCATTCTTTTTAATGACGAAACCATCTTACCCCTTAAGCTCTCTGTACCTCACTAATTTAAAGCCCTTTCTACTTACATGTAGGGAATCTTTTTCTATGGGAAACAACACCAAAAGTGAAAAACTTGATATTTACTTACAGAATTACACTGGTGTGAAGATGAAGGTTTGGGAGCATTTTACACACAAGCAGTTTTGCCTAATTTGAGGCCTATTCCAATGCTCAAATTGACTCAGTTCATTGTTGTTTTGCTAGTTTGCCTTCTGTACTATCTGTTCATTGCAAGAAACTGCCCCCTTCACCCATCAGAATTTGGGTACTATAACCCAGTTTTACACCGTTTTCACCAAATTTCGAAACAAAAATTGTAAGCCTTCCAGCCACTATAGCAATCTTTCTTCTGTTCATTAATCATTTTTCCAGGCCTCTCCTGTATAGAACACTTACCCTCCAGTTTCAATCCATTTTCACAGAAAAAAAATCAAAGTTTTTCCAATTTTTCGGCTCATAAACCGTCAGAGTAAGTGCTTGATCGTAGTTTAGGTCATCCCAGTAATTGAACCTGACTTAATAATAACCCATTGAACAGATGGGGGGTGAGGGGAAGGGACCAACCCAGGTCCTGCTCTTTTTCCAAGAAAGTTGGTTGGTCCCACCGTTACCCAGGAAAATTGGGTTAGACCCACCGTTTCCCAGGAAAATTGTCCAAAATTGATCATTTCTCGTTTCTTTGATGCCTTTTTCAGGCAACTTCCATTATTAACCCTTTCATTGTCCAGACCCTTGAACTAAGAATCTTTTTCTGAAGATAATAAAACAAAAAGTATGAAATTTGATGGAAAATTGACAAAATTATGCTTTCATGAATTTTGCCGCATCAGCGATATTTACACATCAGTGATTTTATCCACTTCGAATCTTATCGTAGGCCAATTACATTGTTCCAATAGGCCATTTTTTTTGCTGTTTCACTAGTATGTCTTCCACTTTATTGAATGAGCACAAGAAACCACCCAGCCATTTCACATTTCCAGTAAAGTGATCAGGAATTGGTAATTTGGCCAGTTTCACACAAATTTCAAAATAAGAGTCCAGAATAAACAGTGCAGGCATTCTGGCACTAAAATAACATTTCCTCTGTTCATTAGTTATGTTCCCAGGCTTTACACATAAATACTGTTTTTGACTCTGTTCGCAAAAAAATAGAAGATTTACTGTTATGCAATATTGTAATAATTGCATAAATAATACCAGCGCTTTTGTGAACACTTATTAGACCCAGCAGTTTGACGTGTAATGGACAAGTGATGTGATTTCTGTACTCATTTCCACTACTCTGAACTCAATTTCAAGCTATTGTCAGTCCTGAAACTAATCAGAATCTGTATTATATATTCCATTCTATCAAATGAGAAACCAAGAATACAACAATACAACCAAAAACCATGAAAAAATTCACCACAAAGTCACTGTTTTAAACCAAAAATGCTGTCAGTTTTTTCCCCTCATTATGCACTGCATGTTGTAGGATTTTTTTTATATCGTGCACTCTTACTGCATAGACCCATTCATATCTAGGCCCAAATTTACCACTCTCCGCTTATCTGAGTGAGCTGAACTCATGGCGTAGCATTATGGCACTGACAATGACCTCAAACCCATAATACTACAGCACCGACAATGAAAGGGTTAAATTGGCTGTGTTCTTGTCTATTTTACTAGTTTTTTTAGGTCAATTGGCACAAAAAAACAGCCAAATAAAACTGATGCATATTTTGTGGATATGCAGGAGGACCCTGCTTATACAGCAGATTAGATTCCGGGCTACTGTTGTAAAGCAAAAATCGATGTAAAGTGAATCATAGCCTTTTTTTCACTTTCAAATGCCCATAAAAGCCTGATAACATGTTTACACTATCATATGTTAAGTGAGTAATAGGCCTAAAATATGTACATACAGTTCACACATTACTGTGTACTGTATGTCCTTAGCTTATAGTGAGTGGTGAATATATTGTAGGAAGTCTGAATAAATGAAGAATGGGTATAATTGAAAAACCACTGCATTAGCGAAACACCATAAAGCAAAGCACTGTAAACTGCACACTTTTATCTTTATCCCTATATATGTGTTTGGAGTGACATCTAAACTGTCATATCTGAGTGCCTCTGCGAAGATAGTGATTATGTGTAAATGATGGTGAAAGTGTTTCTTTTTTGGGTTACCCTGCGTCAGTGAGAGACGGCCGACATGTCAAAAAAAAAAAAAAGTGCATAGTCTTTTAATTGGCTTGCATTTTGCTCTCCTCTTCAGGTTTTCTTGTTCCTACCAGTCTTGTCTTGCTGTTTTTATTCTACTGATCACTTCTTAGTTTTTGCTGCTGAAGTGATCCTTATCCTTACTTACATAAGAACTATACTAGTACAAACAAGGGATAAGACTGAATTTACTTTCTTAATAACCAAACCTGTATATAAAATTCTTCAGTTAAACTTTCAAGTTATCTTTTTAAAGTTTTATAAATATTTAAAAGTGTTGAAATATTTGGGTATGATATTTACATAACACTATGATACCCAAGAATAGGGAGTGCTTAAGAGAACAAAATATTATTAATATTACTAGAGCTCATAGATACCGTACTTTGTTCATAACAGGTAATGAATTATTATTGTATACTTTCAGCCATAAAAAATGGGAAGCAGTTGTGCAGTGTTTGTCAGTGCTTGATGTTCTGATATCTCTTACATGTTACGCAAAGGAAGTCAGTACTGTTAGACCAAACGTAGTTATGCCTGAAGAAAAAGTTCAGGTTAGTTACATTACCATTTTTATTGATTTGATCCTATAATGATAAGGCAAATAGAATGTCTTCCATATATTTCTGGTTTAAACACATACCGAGGTATGTTGCTATGCTTGCATTTCATTATATGTAGAAATGTGCTTAATACTAATTAACTTTACTGACACTGATGGATAAAGGATCAAATGACAGATGTACATAATTTTTGTTGTGTGGTGGTATTAGTGTTCAGTGATTTTCCCCAAGTGTAGAAGGTATAGTTTTATTAAAGATTCATTGTCATTCAGTGTTATGAGCCCTTTTTCCTTAATACTTTCCTATATTTTTTCAGTGAATGCCTACCCACCTTGAAACTGGGAAATCATGATATGATGCTGTTAGTGGGAAAATGAGAGAATTAAAATAAGTGTATTGTCAATTTCAGCCATTCCTAGAAATCAGAGATGGTCTTCATCCATGTGGGCAGCAACGTTTAGTGGTGATGAATTCATTCCTAATGATGTGGTTATGGGTGGCACTAGTGAAGATGCTCATTCGAACCTGGTGCTGGTCACAGGACCAAATATGGGTGGCAAATCAACACTTATGAGACAGACTGCTCTTATATGTATTCTAGCACAGTTGGTAAGTAATTTCTATAACATTTTTATTGTTTCTTTTTTAGGCTTACCACATATATAGTAATCACATCATTTCTTGTTGGACATTAATAATGGCATTATTAGCTAATGTTAGATTCTTTGGAAGCCACTTCTTTTTGACAATAGGATACCTTTGTTTCCAAACAAAATCTCAACAAATTCAGGGATTTGCATTAATTAGTGTGTGCACATTTATAAGGCAATTTTGGATAGTCTTACCTAGTGCTGTATAAGACATACGAAACCTCTCCTCTGGTTCTAGTATACAAGTCTCCATCCTCGTACCTTTGTATAAGATTGATAAAGCCTGTTGTGCAGTGAAATTTCTTTATATAAATATTTCCAGGTGTACACATGCCCTTTTTCATCAGCGTGTCGTATTGTTGACCTTTGGTTTGTAATGATACCTACAGTATAGTTTCCCTTAACCTTTTTTTTCTTACCAGCTGTATCCCACTAAAGCAGGGTGACCCAGAAAGAAAAACAAAAGTCTTTCTTTTTACATTTAGTAATTTAACGGGAGAAGGGGCTACTAGCCCCTTCTTTCCAGCATATAATTGCGTCTCCATTTCCTCATGCAGTAATCCTTGAAATTTATACCTGTATTTTCCCCCTCTTTTCCTTCCATAACTGATCATTTAAAACATTACCAGTCTCCTTCCTTAGCTCAAATTTCCTCAAAACACCCTGACCTAACCCTTTTTTTCTTTCTTTCTTTCTGAAATTTTTAAACCCCATTAAAACCTTTTTTTTGTTTAGAGCTAGGACATCCAAAATTTTCATTTATAACAAATAAAAACCATCTCTTTTCTTTCTTTCATCTTACTACATCCACACACTTTTTAAAACCCCCTAACTTTAAAAATTTTTTTTTAAATTTTTTTAGTAATTTATCCCGGGGGAAAGGTAGCTAAAAACCCTTTACCCCCAACTTTTTTTGGAAACCTTTAAATAACCTCAGGGCTTCCAGAAAAGGAAAAAAGGGGGTTGATGGGAGGCTCCGGGAAATGTACTTTTTATAGAGGGGAAAAGATAATGGGGTCTTTATTTAGTTTAGTACATTTTAGGGGGAAGAGGAAAGAGGGGGAAAAGGGGAAAGGGTGGAAAGCAAAAAGGGAAAGGGAGGGAGGTAAAACATGTAAAAAAATAAGGGGGGGGAAAAATTTTCGGGTGAGATTAAGGGACTATTGGCAAAAAGGGTTTGGGCTAGTGCAAAATGAGTATTTGGGGGATTGAAGGGGGTTTGGGAATAATTTTTAAAAAAAGAAATTTTAAATTTTGGGGGGCAAAAGTTTGGGGTTTTTATGGGAGGGGGGGGGCAGGGGGGGAAAAGGGGAAAGTGATTGGGGGAAAATTTTGAAGAAAAGGGGGTGTGATAAAAGAAAAAAGGTGTTATGAGGGGTTTTTTTACAAAGCAGAAGTTTTTAAAAGAAGAGCAGAGTTTAGGGGGGGGTAAAGAAAGGTAAAGAAAGTGGTGAAGATTTGAAAAAAGGAAAAGGCAGAGTTTAAAAGGGGGGAAGTCACTGTAAATAAAATTTTTAAATAAAAAAAAAAAAAAATTTTGGAAAAGGGGTTAAAAAACAAGTTAAAAAAGGGGCCCTGGGGAAAAAGAAATTGGATTTGTCAGTTAAAAAAAAGGTAGGGGGGGTTAGTTAGTAGTGGGGAAAAGGGAGGTTTTAGGTAGATGGCGAGAATTTTTTGAGGAACTTTTAAATTTTAAAGGGAAAAGAAAGAAGGCAGTAATTTCTCCCCATTTTCGGGGGAGGTATACCATTTTTTTTGGGAGTAAAGAAGAGCAAAAATTGTAATTTGTGGGGGGGGTACTTTGGAGGCATTACATAGAATAAAAGGGGGGTTTAAAAAGCAGCGGGAATGATGGTACATGACCAAAAAATTTTTAAAAGCGGGGGGGGGAAATAGTAATTGGAGTGGTTGGTACTTTTGTTTATTAAATGTATGAAAGGGGGGGAAGGGTACCTAGGGTTTGGGGCAGGAGCATGTTAAGCCCCCTTTAAATAAAAAGGGAAAAGGGGGAAACCAAAAAAAAGCCCTAAAAAAAAATTATAGGGGAAATAATTTTACTGAGTTACCGGGGAAAAGTTTTATGGTAGGGTTATTTTTTAAAAAGAATTAGAGGAAAGGGACAAATGGGGATTGCGGATAGCAAGGGGGTTTTTGAGGGGGAAAGGGGAAAGTGTAGATAAAGGGTGTTTACTTGTACCCATTTGTGAACATTTATTTAGATAAAGGTAGGGAATTTTTTTTTGCATTTATGGATTTAGAAAGGGCATATAAATTGAGTGGATGAGGAGAAAATGTGGCAGATGTTGCAAGAAATAGGGAAATTTGGGAAAGGGTTAAATTTAAATCTTTTTTAAAGAGTTTTTATGGGGATAGTGAGGCCGGGTTTAGGGGGGCGTAGAAAAAGAGGGAGAAAAATTCCCCGGGTTTTAAAAAAATGGGTTTTTAAACAGGGAGGGTGTAATCCACCATGGGGGTTTTTAAATTTTTAATTTATAGAGGGGGTTTGGGAAAGGAAGGAAATGCTAGGGTTTTCGGGAGGGGGGGGTGGGAAAAATTTTTGGGGGAAAATAAAAATTTAAAAAAGGGGGAATTGACACATTTTATTTTTTGTTTGATGAACTGTGCTTAGGGGAAAGATTCTAAAAAAAAATTTGAAAAAGGTTTAAGTGGAGGGTTTTTTGGGAATGTGTAAAAAGGGTAGAAATTGAAGTGAACATATAAAAGATTTAAGGTGATGAGGGTTTCAAATGATTTAGAAAAAAAAAATGGATACAAATTGGGGGGGGAGGAGTATGGAAGAAGTAAAATTTTTTAAGAATTTGGGGAAGGTTGCCCGTGTCGGCGGATGGTTTTATGAAGGATGGGGTTAATCATAAAAAATTTTGATGGGGGAAAAAAAGGGTGAGGGGGTGCGTTGGGGTATATGGGGAGAAAAAAAACTTTATCTTGGAGGCAAAAAAGGGAATTTTTGAAAGTATAGTAGTCCCAAAACACTTTATATGGGGTAAGTTTTGGGTTTGGTAAATGCAGCAGCGGGGAGGGTTTTTGGAGGCAGGGGAGATGCCTTTTTTAAGGGAAGGTTGGGTGTAAATATTATCAAAAAATTGGGATTTTTGGAAATTGGGGAAAAAGGTGGGGGGATTTAATTTTAAAAAAAATTAGTAAAAGGGGGCGGGAAGGGGGGTTTGGGTTGAGGTGGTTTTTTTGATTTTTTGAAAAATTGATAAAAGTAAAATTTACATGGAAAGCTTTATAAATCTATAGGGGGGGAAGGGGGGGGTGGGGGTCGTCCTCAAAAGGGTTTGGAGGGAGGGGGAAAAGGGGAATTTTTGTGGGGAAAGGGGGCTTGGACTTCCAGAAGGTGAATGATGTGTTAGATGGGAAGTAAAGGGAGAGGAATGGTACTTGGGACCTGACATCTGTTGGAGTGGGGAGCGGGGTAATTATTTATTTGAAGGGATTCGGGGGGAAAACCGGTTATTTTCAAATAGTCGGACTTGATTCCGGGAAAAGGGGAAAAAGTAAAACCCCTGCCCCTTTAAAGGGGGGGTTTGGGGGTTTATTGGCCAGTTTGGGGGGATATGTTGTTTTCCTTGATATTTGTATGCTTCTAAACTGTTGTTTTCCAAACACCCCCTGAAAAAAACATGAAATTGTATGAGTGGGTGAAAAGTTTTAAAAATGATGAAAGTTTTTTCCTTTTGGGGGTTTTTTTCTTTCTTTTTTGGGTCACCCTCCCGGGGTTGGGGGGGAGGGGGCCGACTTTTTGGGAAAAAAAAAAATCCCCATTTCCCACTGGGCGGGGTGCCCCAAAATAAAGAAAAACCTTTCATCATCATTTTCCCCTTTTGGGTCTTGCCGAGGGTGCGATACTATATTTTTAAAACCTGAAACATATCTCCCACCCTCCCCTTCAGAATGGAGGTACTGTGGTTTACCTCAAAATTATTTTTGGCTAAACCTCCAGCAGCAGGGTTAGGTCAAAAAAAACCCCAATTGCCCCCTTTCTTTCCCCCTAACATGTTTACACACGCTCCCCGGGAAAGTCCAAGCCCTTTACAAAACACCTCCTCCTTTACCCCTTCCCCCCCAACCCTTTTCCTAGGACACCCCTACCCCCCTTTCCTTTCATTTTTAAATTTATTTTGCCCTCCAAGTCATTTTATTTTTTTTCATCCTCTCTAATGTCCAAACCCTCTCAGCAACCCCTTTAAACCCTCTGAAAAAATACTTTTTTTTTTTTTTTTAAACCCGCAACTCCTTTTAATCTCCAAGGTATTTAAATTTTTCATAATGTTTAACCACACATTTCCCTTAAAAAAAACATCTCCAAATGCCCCCAGCCCTTTTTGTTGCAAAAATTCACCACCCAAAGTTCACACCCTTAAAAAAAACATTTTTTTTACCACTATTCTTCCCCATACATTCCCTGCTTTGCCTCCATGGAAATGTTCTTTATCTCCACAAATCTTCAGGCACCCCCCACCTCATCCCCTTTTTTTATTTTTTTGTTCAAACCCCATCTTTCATAGACCCATCTGCTGCAATCCACTCTGAAATATCTTAAAACATTTTATTTATGTGGTTTGTGAGGGTCAGGGGTTTGGATGTGTAGAAAGGGGGAGGGAGAATGCTTTCCCAGTAAAAATAGGCTTAGGGTGTTTTAAAGTCCCCCATGGTTTTTTTAAATATTTTTAGATGGTTGTAAAAGAAGTAAATGCTTTGGGTTTTTCAGGGAAAGGGGTTTTTGGGGTTAAATTATGGGGAATTAAAAAACAAATTGGGGAAATTTACACAGTTGCTTTTTGCTGTGATACTGTCATATCGGAGATTCCCGAAGAAAAAAATTTCCAAAGGGTTTGTGGAGTGTGTGAAAGGTAAAAGGGTTTAAAGTGAAAAAAAGAAATGAGTAAAAGGGGATGGGGGGTATTTAAATGATTTAGATAAAAAATATTGGTTTTCAAATTTGGGGAGGATAATGGAAAAAAAATTAATGTTTTCAGATACTTGGGGGGTTGGGCGTGTCGACAATTTTGGGTTTTGAAGGATAGGTTTTAAACGTTTGAATTTTGGGGGGAAAAAAAAAGGGGAGTGGTTTCGTTGAGGTATATGTGGAAAACAAAAAAAACGTTTTCTATGGAGGCAAAGAAGGGAATGGATGAAAATTATAGTACCAAACTCTTATATGGGTTTTTGAAGTAAAGGGGTTTTGGGAAAAAAGAGCGGGAGGCGGTTTTAGGCGTGGGAGATGTTTCCCGGGCTTTAAGGGCCAAAGTGTATGTAAAAGTTTTTTTCAGAAAAATTTGGAGTGTGGGAAAAATTTGGAAAGGGGCGGATTTAAAAGGGATTAGTCAAGGGGTTTAAGAGGGGGTTTTTTGAAAGGGGGGTTTGGTTATTTAAAAGAGAATGGATCAAAGTGAAGACATGTAGAGCATATTAAAACTGTAGGGGGAAAAGGGAAAGGGGGGGAGGATTCATCCTCGAAAAAGGTTGGAAAGGAGGGGCAAAAGGGGCTTGGAATTTTAAACAGGCATTTCAAAGACGTGTTCGATAGGATGAATGGAAACTAAAAGGGGGATTTTTGGGGCCTGACCCATCTGTTGGAGTGTGAGCAGGGCAACAAAATTTTGTGAAGGGATTTTAGGGAAACCAGTTATTTTTTAAAATAGCCCGGGTTTAGTTTCCCGGAAATGGGGAAATACCCTGCCTGCACTCTAAAGGGGGGGTTCGGGGTATTAGCAGTTTGGAGGGATATGTTGTGTATCTTCATACATGTATGCTTCTAAACTGTTGTGTTCTGAGCATCTCTGCAAAAACAGTGATTATGTGTGAGTGAGGTGAAAGTGTTTAATGATGATGAAAGTATTTTCTTTTTGGGTCACCCTGCCTCGGTGGGAGACAGCCAACTTGTTAAAAAAAAAAAAAATCACTTCCTCCATACTCCCTCCCTCCAATCTTTCATTTCCTAAAATTTTGTTATCCTCATAACTTTGCTCTTTCCCTTGTTCAATTTAATTTCCCTCTTTGCATACCTCTCCATTTGTCCACTAACCTCTGCAATCTTTTCTTCAGAATCTCTCAAAAGCAGTGTCATCAGCAAAAAGCAACTGTGACAACTCCCATTTTGTGTTAGATTCTATATCTTTTAATCACACACTTCTTCCTAACACCCAAGCATTCACCTCTCTTCCAGTCCCATCTATAAATATATTGAACAACCACGGTGACATCATGATCCCTGTCTAATGTCTACTTTTACTGGGATTGTTATTCTTTTTATAAATATTAAACACTTATAAATAAACAGTCTGGTTAGCCAGACTTGTCCTGGAGGTGGGAAGTACAGTGCCTGCACTCTAAAAGGAGTGGGTTGGGATATTTCTGTTTAGAGTGACATCTAAACTGTCATATTTGTGTGCCTCTGACAAGATGGTGATAGTGTGAATGATGGTGAAAGTTTCTTTTTTGGGTCACCCTGCCTTAGTGGGAAACAGCCAGCATATTAAAAAAAAAATAGAATCATTCATTTATAAATCAAGATTTCTTATTTATTCTCTTACTTTTGAATGAAAATAAGTGTAACATTAGTATAATATTCTGTCTGCAGATTTTTTTTTTGCGCTACTCTTAAGTTAATATAAATATTAACCCTTTAAAAGGTTTCCCAAAAATATATATATGTTTTTTCAACATTTGAAAATATGTAAAAAATGTACATCATCTTTTTTTTTTTACATTTGAAAATGTGTAAAAAAAACTTTTATCTACATTTTTTTTTATATTTGAAAATATGTAACAAAAAAAAATAGATCTACTTTTGGAGCACTACGGATTTGAACGTCGATCTATTGGGACCGTTTAAGGGTTAGTGAAAAATATCTGATGCTTATTATTTATGATTGTATCCTCAGGGATCATTTGTTCCTGCAAGGTCATGCCAGTTGACTCCCTAGATCGGGTTTTTCCGACTTGGGCCCTCTGATCGGATCATG